TTATGGAAAATTTTCAGATTTTCACCATTGAGTATTATGCTGGCTGTAGATTTGTCATAAATAGCTTTTATTATGTTGAGATATGTTCCCTCTACACACACTTTGGTAAGAGTTTTTATCATAAATAGGTGTTGAATTTTATAAAATGTTTTTTCTGCATCTACTGAGATGACCATGTGACTTTTGTCCTTTCGCTTGTTGAAGTGGTGTATCATGGTGATTGATTTGTGTATGTTGAACCATCCTTATGTCCCTGGGATGAATCCAACTTGATCATGGTGTGTGATCTTTTTTATGTGTTGTTGGATTTTGTTTGCTCATATTTTGTTGAGGATTTTTGCATCTATGTTCATCAATGATATTGGCCTATAGCTTTCTTTTTTGGTAGTGTCTTTGTCTGGCTTTGGCATCAGGGTGATGGTGGCTTCATAAAATGAGTTTGGTAGTATTCCTTCCTCTTCAGTCTTTTAGAACAGTTTAAGAAAGATTGGTATGAGTTCTTTGTATGTTTGACAGAATTCCCTGGTGGAGCTATCTGGTCCTGGACTTTTGTTTGCAGGGAGGTTTTTTATTGCTGAGTCTATTTCACTTCTAGTGATTGGTCTGCTTAACTGATCTATTCCTTCTTGATTCAGTTTTGGTGGACTCCATGTGTCTAGAAACTTGTTCATTTCTTCTAAGTAGTCCAATTTATTGCCATGTAGTTTTTCATAGTATTCTCTTATGATTTTTTTTTCTGTATTCCTGTGGTGTTGGCTGTCATCTCTCCATTTTCATTTCTTATTTTGTTTATTTGTGTGCTCTCTCTTTTCTTCTTGGTGTGCCTAGCCAGAGATTTGTCAATTTTGTTTACTCTTTCAAAAAAAACCATCTCTTGATTTGATTTTTTTCTATTTTTCAAAAATCTCTATTTTATTTATTTCCTCCCCAATCTTTATTATTTCTTTCCTCCTGCTGACTTTGGGTTTTGTTTGTTCTTCTTTTTTTAATCCTTTTAGGTGGTAAGTTTGGTTGTTTATTGAAGATTCTTCTTCTTCTTTTTTTTGAGGAAGGCCTATATTGCTATAAACCTCTCTCGGGACTGCTTTTGCTGCATCCCACAGATTTTGTGTGATTGTGTTTTCATTGTCATTTGTCTCAGTGTTGTTTAATTTCTTTTTTGAATTCATCATCGATACATTGTTTTTTTAGTAGCATGGTGTTTAGTCTCCATGCTGTCATTTTTTTCTCTTTTGTTTTTCCATGGTTGATTTCTAGTTTCGAATATGTGGTCTATACTAGAGAATGTTCCATGAGCACTTGCAAAGAATGTATATTCTGCTTTGGAGGGATGTAATGTTCTAAAAATATCAACCAAGTCAAATTGTTCTGTTGTGTCATTTAGTATCTCCACTGCCTTATTAATCTTCTATCTGGAAAACATGTTGAATGATGTTAGTGGGGTGTTCATGTCTCCTACTACTATTGTATTCTCACCAATTTCTCCCTTTATGTCTGTTTTTATTCATTTTTTTATATTTAGGTGCTCCTATATTTGGTACAGATATGTTAACAAGTGTAATATCTTCATCCTGTATTGCTCCTTTGATCTTTATATAGTGTCCTTTTTTATTTCTCTTTATGGCCTTTGTTTTAAAACCTATTTTTTTATGATATGTGTATTGATATTCCAGCTTTCTTGTCACTTACATTTGCATGAAATATGTTTCCATCCTCTCATTTTCAAACTATGTGTGGCCCATCATTCTAAAATGTGTCTCTTGTAAGCAGCATATGGTCTGCTTTTGCTTTATTATCCAATTGGCCACTCTATGTCTTTTGATTGGAACATTTAGTACATTGATATTTATAGTAATTATTGATAGATGTGTGTTTATAGACATTTTGAACTTTGTTTTCCAGTTGACTTGGTACACCTTCTTTGTTCCTTTCTTTCCCTTTTTATTTTTCTTTTTGTGGTTTGATAATTTACTTTTGTATTAGCTTGATTCCTGTTTGGTTTTTGTTGCTCTATTGTATGCTTTTTATTCATAGTAACCCTGTTTTTTAAGTATGCTAACCCCTTTCTACATCTGGTGCTTTAGTCTGATAGTCATGTAGGCTCAAACACATCCTGAAAAGAATGAAGAAAAGAAAAAAGAGAAAAATATCTATATTTTCTTGCTTCCCTCTCCCACCTTTTATGATTTTGATGTTCTTTATTTTTATTTATTGTATTTTTTTACATCTTCATGTTTCTTCTCTTGCAATTCACTATAGTTACCACATTTTCAGTTATGGTTTTCTCATTTCTATAGCTTCCTGTTTCTTTTCTATTTAGAGTAGACCTTTCAATATTTGTTTTAGCATAGGTTTAGTACGGCTAAATTCTTTTAGTTTTTGCTTGTCTGTGGAATTCTTTATCTCTCCTTATACTCTAAATGATAGTCTTGCTGGATAGAGTATCCTCAGTTGCAGCTTTTTCTCATTCAAGACTTTGAATATATCTTACCATTCCCTTCTGGACAACAGTGTTTGAGTAGAGAAATCAGCTGAAAGCTTTATGTGGTTTCCCTTGTAACTAATTCTTTGTTTTCCTTTTACTACCTTTAGAATCCTTTCTTTATATTTAACATTGGCCATCTTAATTATAATATGTCTTGGTGTAGGTCTGTTTGAGTTCTTCTTCTTTGGGACCCTCTGTGCCTCCTGTACTTGGATATCTGTTTCCTTCTTTAGGTTGGGAAAGTTTTCAGTCATGATTTCTTCAAATATCTTTTCAATTCCCTTTTCTTTTTCTTCTCCTTCTGGCACCTCTATTATATATAGATTGGCACACTTTATATTATCCCATAGGTCCCTTATATTGCTTTCATTTGGTTTTACTTGCTCCTCTGTCTGCTGTTCTGATTGGGTGACTTCTGTCATCCTGTCTTCTAAGTCACTTATTCATTCCTCTGCATTATCTGTTCTGCTTTTGACTGCCTTTAGCTTGGCTCTTTTCTCAGCAAACTGAGTTTTCTGTTTTTAGTTGGTCCTTCTTTATAGTTTCAATTTCCTTTTGTAAAGTATTCTCTGTTTCTGTTGATAGTCTCTTTTAGTTCCTTTATTGCACTGATCACACTGATCATTCCCTTTTTAAAATCATGATCTAATGGACTATCAAGGTCTATTTCAGTGATTATTCTTTCAGGGCATTTCTCTTATTCTTTTAATTGGGAGTAGTTCTTCTGCTTCTTCATTTTACTTATATTTCTCTGACTTTATGGATTTAGGTGTATCAGTTATCTACTGTGATCTTGAAGGGCTGTTTTATTTTTTGTTTGTTTCTTCTTATTTAAAGTGGGAGCATTCCTGTTTTGACTGTGTGCATCTAATAATTTTGTTATGATGGCTGTTCTTAGTATGGATATTTGCCATGCGTTACTTCTGTGAATGTTGGCTGTTATCCCTTTGATTGGGGGTGTGCTTGGTGTTATGATGTTCAGAGCTTGCCCTGATTTTTGTTGTTGAGCCAGGCCTCCTATTTTGTGCTGTAGTTGTCACAGCCTTGACAGGGGCTGGGTTTGCTCCTCTGTTCCTGGAATAGAGGCTTCTAGACCCATTTATGAGCTTCAGTGTGTGGTAGGCAGGGTTGGAGGGCTGCAGCTGAGAAGAAGAGTCACTGAGTATATCTCTGCAGGATATACTGGGAAGTGCCCTCTGTAGTTTTGTGTGTCACTTATTATGCAGGCTTACAACTCTTTGTTGACACTGCCTTTTTCTTCATTTTAGCTGCAAGAAGGTCAGCAACCTTTTCTGGTGTCCCCCAGATTCTAGGCCCTGGAACTACCAGATCAGACCCATTAATGTCAGGTGCTAGGACCTGTCATAGTGAGCATACAGTCACACACCTGAATCCATGGTGCTCTACAGGGTCAGTGCATACCCCAGCCCCCTCTCTGTTTATAGCATGATGGCTTATTTTAAATACCTAAACTCTCCCCCACTGTGTGTCAGAGCTCTGCTCACTGACTGTTCATCCCAGAGGTGGGGTTTCACAAAGGCATTAGTGGAGTAAATCAACTCTCTCTGCCTGGGTCTGTAAACAAATCTTAGTCACACCTGTGAAGTTTCAGGGCCCTTGGGTATGGATTCAGCTTTCAGCCCCATCTCCATGCAACAGTGACAGCTATGACCAGGCCCCATCTCTCTTCTCATGAGAACACACCAACAATGGATCTAAGCAGACACAGCATCTATGGAGTGCCTACATTGCACATGTGCCCTCCACTTCCATGTACACCAGCAGTGATGCTTTTTTTGAGGGTCCCATTCTGTTTTGTTCTGCACACACCCCCAGCCAGAGCTCACACCTCCCTCAGGTCCCCTGGGGCTGCCTCTGTGCAGTCAGCCCCAGTTCTCTGCCTGGGCTTGTCAGTGATCTACAACAGCCAGTCTCAGCCTGAGTCCTTTCAGGCTCGTGTCTATGGT